TATATATATATATATATATATATATATATATATATATATATATATATTTGCTCTTTCAGTTGTTGCTGTAACTGTTTCCTAAAAAAATTCAACTGGTGAAATAAAAAAATGAAAGTTTGTTCTTGTTCTTCATTTCCAACCAAAGAGCACGTGACACACTCACACACCTGAGACTAACTCGAGCTTCTCAGCAGGGTCTCCTTCCTCGTACAGTTTGGGATGACAGCGGTTGCCTATCTGAGCAATGAGTTCTGCAGGGAGACACGTAAGGTCTCGGCCTCTCATCCGGCCCCGGGTCTCTGTGTGGTCTGGTAGAGCCTCCACCCGCTCGCCAGCTGCTGGGGAAACACAAACCCACATTTTGTCCACACATGCGTTTGAATTTTTGAGAAATGTGCTTTTGACTCCATAGTATTATATGTGCACCAACCAGACACGGAATTAAAAAAGGTTGGGGGGGGGGGATCAGAAAATTAGACATTCTCATTAAATTACCTGCAGCACCCATGTTGAGCATACTGTACATGGTATACATGTTGCAGATTTGCCTGTACTGCTCTTCAGCACTTTCATCTGTCCCCTCTTCTTCCTCTTCATCGTCATGGTAGCTGATGGGTGAGTCACTAGCATAGGTACTCAGAGTCCCGGGGCTGGCACCCTCGGACACGCCGAGCCCTGTTGCAGAGTTCCCGTTGGTGCTGGCGCTTCCGCTACTCCCGCCACCGGACACCATCCCCGCCAGGCTTGTTGTGGTAGCATTCATGCCCATGGCCAGTCCAAGAGCTCCGGGGCTTTGGATCGCACTGCCCCGCACTGCTTCCTGGGAGTAACGGGCTGCTTTTCTGGCCCCTCCTCCTCCGCCCGAGCCTCCGCCTCCTCCATCTCGGCTGCTGCCACCCTCCCACAGCCGCTTGGCTACGGGGGTACAAACTACAGAATAAGGAGCGGCTGCTTCTGTCTGGTTGGCTGGCTGCTCCGCTTTGACTCGTGAAACAAGAGGTAGCGGAGTGAGGCAGGAGGGAGGCCTGACCGCGCCGTTACCGGTCAGCGTCACGGGGCTCTGGGGCTCAGATGGTGGGGTTTCCTCTGCGTGAAGGCCCTGGGAGTCACAGCTAGGGGAGGATACCTACAAACGCACACATTAATGTATGTTAGGATACACGACCATGGTGTTCTGGCTTTTAATAAATAAATATTCCTTCATAGAATTGATATTAATGTCTTTATTTTTACCTTACAGCTTTGACTGTCATTTTCAACTAAAAACCTTTTAAGTTTACCTTGAGGAAAAATTCAGTGCCTTTTTCCATGATTTGCTGGATCTGAAGGAAGCCAGCAGTGTACATGAGGAGAAACTGGTCTCCCACTGTCATGCTGAGGCGACCTGTGTAGCAGAAAGCCAGAATCTGCTGAAAGCTCTGAGGCTGCACAGCCGGTGGAAGCTCGACTACAGTGGGGCTCGTCTCGTTGCCGTTACCGCCCGAACCATTGCTGCTGCTGCTGAAAAGGTCCCGGAAATACGAGCTGCTGGCAGCCAGAACAGCTCGATGAGCCTGAGGCCAAAAAAAAGAAGGCAAAGTTTTGCATTGGAGCTTTTAAAATTTGAATTTTAAATGCAAAATTTCAGTGTTTGTTTCACTCAAGCCATTACAGTACTTGACAAAACGTCTGAAAGCATCCATTTTCACTCATTTTCAGTCCAGTTCTTCTACCTGACTAGGACAGTGTATTGTGCAGCGTGTACTTATATAAAACAAAGGAAGTGGACAAGTGGAGGACAAATATTCATATTAGGCGACCGTCCCCCTGAATGTCAGTACATCTTTTGAAGAACAAAGAGCTTCATAACTTCGTAAAAGACAATTGCCACAGAGCAACAAGATGATTTAAACACCCACAAGTCCCAACGTTTTCAGTTTTTAGTAAGAGTCAAGAGTTACTGCTTTTATTTAAACAGGAACCAGGTGTAAATTGGTCTTTTTCCACTGGCTCAACTCAGCCTAACTCAGGTCAACTCTGCACAGCTTCAGGGTCTTTCAACTGGGGATCTCACCTGCTTAGTTTTTAGGATTTATACAGACAAGGTTCCAAGCAAGTCAAGCTAAAGATCTTATAATTACAATTGCAAAATGTACAACAACACTTGTACTAGTTAGTGGTGCAGACATTTCCATGCTTGTTGGCTGACAACAGAATTCAAATGGAGCTAGACCAAATGGGACTGACTTACAAGCTCTGGCTGGCTAAGGGAAGGTGGCCCCGCCACGGCATTTTTGGAAACAGTGGCAAACAATGACAAGTGTTTTGTGACTTTCTTTCACTTATTTCCCTGTTGTTGTGTTGTGTTTGCCTTGGACATCACAGACGTTTTGGGCGGCCATGCTATGACAATCCTACCCACAGTAAACCAGCACTCAAGTGTTATAGGAAACCACAGAAACCATAGACCCAAGTAAAGTCAAAGCGATTCGTGGTGAGACTGGACAATGGGAAAATGGCATAAACAGTACCTTGAAGGTGTGGCCCTTGACCACAACGGAGACATCGCAGTAGAGGCCCTGCAGCCTCTGCTCGTTCAGACACTCTAAAATGTTGTTGCCAAAGTTTGGGATCGCCATCTGGAGGGTTTGGGCCATGGTGCGCCTACGCACACCACCAAAGGTTTTAGCTGAGAAAGAAAAGAGGACAGACAGAGAACAAGAGCACAAGAAAGACAGAGAGGGAGTGAATCCAGGTCTGTTGCTAACCATTAACCAATATATGCAGGGATGGAGGGAAAACCTGTTTGTACCACTGGGTCGTTTTTTATTCATGAGAAGACTTCAGACGTTTTTAAATCCTAAAAGCTGCAAGGCTGGCTATGACATTATTCACATTGATACATGCGGAGCAGCTCAAAGGGTTAACACTTTGATTCGTGGGTTCTGCAGCTTTATCCCTGGTTATGAGCGGTGCAGAGGCCACACAGTGGGAGAACTTGGACAGATAAACAGACAATGACAAAAACTGTTCTTGTCTCTTTGGTGGAAGGAGAGTTTCAGAGAGCGTGTGGGGGAGGAGGAGCAATGTGGCAAGGCTGAAAAGCTGAAGAGAACAAAGTAAAACAGAAACAGTAAAGTGGTCCAAATAAATTTTCTAAACATACACTTCATTTTATAGTTATGTTATTTCAGCTAACTCAGACCTCTTATAACAACATATAAATAGGAATTATGAACCTTAGTAATTCCCACTTTTTGGATTAAGAATATTTCTCTTAACAGGATGCAGTTGACAGCTTTTGCTGAAACTTCCACAAACAATCTGCATCACATAAATCCTGCCTAACCCTTCAGCTTTGCATGACTCGTAGTTCCAGGGATAAACTCGGTAAACGCCTTTTTTCTATCTTTTGTGCGCTCGTTTGATAACTGGGTCATGTTCTTTTATTCCACGTGTGAAAGTGCGTGTGGTCTCTAAACAAAAACCATACTGCGCGTTACAATTTACCTCAAGCTACAGTCAAAAGGCAAACAAACCCACGGGTTCTGTACCTTCACTTGTATTCAACAATGTCTGATCCAATGATCCTTCAGCTGTAGAAATAAAGATTGATTGCATTATCAAGTTGTATTTATTTCCCTTTTCCCTTGCAGAAACATTAATTGAAATATCGTAAAACATTATGGGTGCAGAAAAAAATCTGATTCACTGAAGAATCTAGATTCTTAGTTATGGCGATGCTGAATCGATTCTAAAGGCCCATACATCGATTTAAAAATATGTTTGTTTTATTTTTTTCCATTACTACTATAGAGCGTACTGGACATTACATGCCCACTTGGCCACCGTAGAATATGGCCTTGTAGGCCACCGTACAGCAAGCTAGTTAGCCAGCAATGGAGCCTGCTAGCATGAAGCAGGAAGACGGCGTGATTCAACCCTCTCCTTCGTTGTTAAAAGTCAGTGGACGGGCACATTTCGGATTCTTGACAAACGCATGGTTGTTTGCAAGATGTGTAAAATAAAATTGCGGTATTTTGGAAATATGATAAATGCACGGAAGGAAGATGAAAAGCAAAAGTAGACCAGCAAACTCTGGAGCAACAAACTTAAAGCTGATTCCCCAAGGGCTGTGAAGATTTCCCACTCCATCTCCTGTTATATCACAAAGGATTTACGGCCATATAGCTCGAAGGTGAGGGGCTTAGGTTATTTTTAATAAGCTGGACCCAACGTTGTACGCTATTCCTTCACGTAGCTTTTTTTTTTTTTTTGCTATAAAGCAGTCTACCATGGAACAAAGAATAAAGTGGGAGAAGCTCTTTTTAATGCTACTGCAGCTCAAAAGGTAACTGCTTTTTTCTCATATTATACAAACACTTATAAAGACATGTTATACAACAAACTTAATGTAATTTGTCTTTTTAACAGGTTGAAGAGAGGTTAGATGAGACACGTCGCCTGGAGCCAGTTCTGAATGACACAGTTTATGGTTTATAAATTACAGTTCGGAAGAGTTCTTGTGCAGACTTGCACAGGTTTCGAAATTTTGTTAAGGATTTACCAAACATGAATCAATATGGTTAAGACTGTGAAGTCTGTATATTTCATATTAGGTTAAGTTTTGAAAATATAACAAATGTTAGAGCAATGTGGTTAAAAAAAACTGTGAAGTCTGTATTTTATTTTGAGTTAAAGGTTAATATACCATGATAGGCTGAAGTCTTTGTTTACTTTTTGAATTATTGGTCTGTGATGGACTGGAGACCTGTCCAAGTGTCCCCCGTCTCTCGCTCAGTGACTGCTGGATACGGGCACCAGTGACCCCGTGACCCGAAAAGGAAGAAGCGAGTTAAGATAATGGATGGATGGATGATTTGTTCCTAGATTTTTTGTTGTTGTTGTTGAGAAAAATCCAGCCAACTAAGCTAACCTAATAATGGTAATTTAAGTTACAGAATTTTATGCACACCTATATTTGTTCCTATTTTTGGTATAAATATGAAAACAGACACAAAACGATACAGTAAAGAACCTAAAATGATTGTTTTAAATAAATGTTCTATTTGTTTGCATTGTTGTTGAATCTTTTCATCTTATCACTTACATAATTTAAACAAAATGTATGACCGTTTCAATTAAAAAATTGTTTCCGAATCGAAAAACATTTCTGAAGCGAATCGTGACACCAAAAATCAGAATCAAACCGAACCGTCAAGACACTGAGATTCGCACCATATTAAAGTAATATACATGAAACGCGTGAGAAGTGTGTTTTGCGCATGGAAACATGGTTTTGAAACATTTCTAATAGTATAAAGTGTGAAACGCTTGTAAAATATCACGTGAAACACGGGGGATTAAAAGTTTTTGCAAGTGCTGAAAAACACACCACTTGTAATACACAGCTCCAGCTCCTTTCATGTCTCTTTGGCAACATGGTATCATCACTTCATGCCAAGGTGATTAGCACTGGATACCTGCACAGTTGTTTTGGTTGATATACTGTACATGAATAAATAAGATTTTTTTTTTAAAGTAAGAAAAATGCTCTTTTTTTTTTCAACCCCATTTGTGCCTTTGTTTACACTAGAGGCACGCAGACAAATCTATTCTCTCAATGTAGTAACCTTAAATTTAACCAAATTTCCATATTTTAAACATAAAATAAAAGTTATAAATGTAGATCCTAAACCCTCTTTGTTTTATTATTATTTAATTTATTGCCTTTACCCAATGATACCAACTCTAGCTCTAACCATAAAACAGAATAGGTAAAATTTGAGTATGAAAAGACCAGAACCACTCCGGTACAAACGGACTCCCATCCTACACTTTGCTGTAGTTATTTCAACGTGTTCTATGGAACTGTCCACGTCTTAATTTATGCATTTTTTCCCCCATAATGGTTCTGTCATAGGACTTGGATTTATACACATTTATTCCACATACAGAAACAGCAATTTTAGCATGTCAAACACACATGGACTCTGTAAGACAACCCTGCTGAAGTGTGCAAAACTTCTTCTTTCTTTATGAAAAAGTGCCGCGTGACTACGTGCTGCTCTCATACGCACACATGGAGCGACAAATAAATAAGATACACCATGATACTGAGGGGATAAAGTGACTGAAGCACACCCTGTGAGAGGTACACAACCAATTTTGGTGCGACAGACTGATGAGGCCCTGGAGTGAGCCGCCCCATCATATCCAAAGCCTTTCATTTGGGACCCAGCCAAGCTCCAGGGTAAAGAGAAATGCTTGCTTTGTCTCCGTTTCACTCAAGCTCCCTCTCCCTCATACTAAAACACAGATGCACACACACACACAAACTCAAACAAACCCACAAAAGGCACACTAGTCACACACACACACAGCCATTAGACAATACTGCTTGTTTACAGTTTGGCGAGTTGCAGTGAGCACACACGCGTGCACATGAAGACACACAAACACTGACGCTAAGAGACGAGAGCAGGGTGTGTTTGCACAGTTTGTCCTTACAGTCACAGAGAATGTGACTCTGTGAGTGTGTATGTGTGCATTTGACTTCACGTGTGCCTGTATAGGCGCTAAGGAGGGGCAGCACAGACCAGAGGGATCATCTTATAAAACTACAGAATGCTGCATAATGAACAAATCCAACTCTCTGTAGTGGCATTTCCAGCCTAGAGAGAAAAGCAGGTGAAGCATACATGCAAGGCTTTTTATTCTATGCCCTACATCAAAAATAGTTACGTTGTTGAATAATTTTGACATATTTTTAAAACTTTCCTGTCTACCCGCATCATTAAACTGTACAGTTTGTGCACAATAAATTCCCTGTTACACCTGTCATTCAATTCAAGCCCCTTTAATGGCATTACCTGCCTCTCGTGTGATTGTGCCTGCATACATGTGCAGCTCCTCTCACGTCAAGACAGCTGCAGGATTTATTTCTGATTAGTCATAAGGACTTTTCCACACCGTTTGCACCCCAACAAGATTCACCTTACTGAGAGGTTTAAAGGGGAAGAACGAATGTGGGGAAATTCAGGATACTAGAAGAAAAGGGATTGAAAAGAGTTCCTCTACCGTGCCCGTAAGAGGAACATATGATGGCAGAAAACCACGGAGACACGAGTCCGTGTCATTTTGTTTACATAAAAATTACATGGTATTCAGTTGATACGACGTTTATCTGTTTTCCCACCGTGGCTGAAAGCGCCTGAACGTTTCATCCGCAGCAGGCCTAGGTGGCTAACGGCTAAGCTAACAGCACAGTATTTTGGCTTAGCTCCGGCTCAGCGTACACCTCACTCATCCTCAGTGTTGCACGACGAGACTCAAACATTTCCAAACAAATATAATGAGAAAACACTTACAGACCGAGCGGACGAGGTGGTCGTACCGGCGGTCGCCTCTCGTCGAGCACCCTCTTGCAAAAATATATATTATATATGTCTTATTTAAATATTTGGGTGACGGGGGCCATGGCTAACTCCTGTCATCCTCCATTCCAGCCGACATCAACAGGTCATCCCAGGACACGCAGCAGCTGCGGGGCGAGCCAGACTGAACCAGTGCGGCACAGGGGGGTGGTGGTGGAAGGAGGGAGCACAGCGAGGCACAAATCTTTCTATGCCACCGGTGTTGTCCCCCCCTCCTCCCCATCACTCTTTATGCCTGTTCGCACGTTTTTAAGCCCTTTTTTATGGAGTAATTTGAAACGCCTCTCTTTGAAAAGGATGCTAATTCATCGTTTTGCTTTGTCTAGAAAGATTAAAGAAAGTTTGGGTTCAAAGTTTTATTACCCGATGGACCGACATAACGTTACCCCCCCCAGCCTCACGTCTTCTTCCGGCGCCGGTGGACCCCAACAGGAACCCCGCTTCCTCTTCTCCTCCTTCTACCCAACAAACACACACACGTATCGGGCATAAATAAAACACTCACCGCCTCGCTGGGGAAGCTGGTGATGCAGATGTTTTCTTTCCTTTTTTTTTTTTTTTTAACTTTAGTTCAAAGGAGGAGACACAGCGCTCTGCCTCCCGGGTTTTCCTCCTCCTCGCTCCCGGCCGCCATTCAGTGAGAGCGGAGCAGCGATAGCAGAGCCATCGAGCGCCGTTCAGAATCCCAGGGGACTGCGGAGCACAGAGCAACTGATCGATCGGTGAGGGGGAGGAGTGATATGACGTGCGCGTCGTTCTGTCGCGTGATGGTTCGGAGCGCAGCTTGGATTTGGGGAGACCAGAAGGAGGAGAGGGTCTAGAGAGGATTTCTCACAGATTGAGCGGAGGCTTTAGGTGGGAAAAAGTAAACTGACTGTTTCTGACTCTACTGAGATTCACACCAACAGAAATGGTCCATCTGTGAAGCATTACAGAGAGTTCAAGTGGTACGGAAGCCCACTTGTGTCACTTTGAAAAAATAAAGAAGCTCCCAGTCAAAATACTTAATAGTTATTTTTATAAGAAACCGTCTACAAATATGACATATTCTAATAATTTTGACTTAGTGTCTCAAAATTGTGGCTAAATATCGTAAAATTATAAATAATATCAATTAATTCTGACTTATTTCATAATTAAGAGATACTGTAATTGTGTAATACTAACTCACAATTTGGATAAATTGTATCCAATTTATGGCTCACCATCTTATATTTCAGGTCATATTTAATCAATGTGAGATGCAAAGTCATGTTTGTGTGATATTCTTTTAATTGTTAGATTATTAGGAAATGTCCTGTTTATGTGATGTTACTTTAGCTTCTGTTTCCTAATTCTGAGATATAAAGTCATAGTTTTGAGGGGTTTTTTCCCCCCACAAATATGATATAGTAATTTAACCTCTCATTTTAATTTAGTGTCTCAGAATGATGAAATACTGTCTCATTGTTATGAGAGGATAAGTCATACGAGATAAGACTTAGAGGAGCTTTTTTGTTTTTTTTCTACTGTGGCAGAAACTGGCTTCCATACATCACAATAATTGGCCTTTATACAGTTACAGTAATAATGTGCACACGCTCAAAGTCAGTATTTTGCAATGCACTGTGGTCTAGAAAAAATTGTTCCAGTTGATTTTTTTTCTCATTTGTGTACTATCACTGTCTATGGTTTCCTTTTTCATTTTATTACAAACAAATTATTCTTAAGTGTGATGTTTCACCTTTCTGTTCACAAACGGATGGTTTGGATCCACACTTAGTCTAAACTTGGTTCATATCTACCTGTGTTTCAGCGGCTCTGCAGTCTTTCTGACACCTGGCAACATTGCACGCTAAGAACATTTTACTATCACACTGTAAAACACCAACACAGCTAATTTATAAATACATTGTATATAAAAGACAATACAAAGCAGGTGTAAAGGAGCAGCACTCTGGAAATGAACAGTGACTTTGACTTCACAAACAGTTTGAACCTTTGTGAGCGTGTACCTGGTTTTACTCATTTACATTGGTAAATGTAAAAATGTCAAAGATTCTGATCATGTGATTTAAAATGGGACAAATATTACAAAGTACTACACTGAATAAGAGGGGAATACATGTGTCATAGAAATTATATTACTATGAAAATTTTACTGGGGTGGCCAAAATTTTAGTTTAGCTTTATTGTCAATGACTTCACATTAACATACCGTAAATGTGCCAAAATTAGTCAAAATTCTGCTTTTTGTCTGTTGTCCATGTGCATGTTTGTAAGTTCCTTGGCATCTTGTATCATCTTGTTACCTTACTCTGATTTCAATGGCAGCAGCACACTTTTGAATGTTTACAATTGTAACATTATGGACGATCACTCACATACAACAAAGAACAAATATTAATGTTCTTAGGATACAGTAGATCTTTGTTGAACACCTGCTTAATGTCCTAGCACATGGGGTTCCCAATATGTATAGAAACATCAACTTTTAGAATGTTTTAACTTTTAATCACTATATATATATATATATATATGGTATTAACTAACATGCTTTAAACACTGTATTATATTCCCACTGAAAAAAAAAAACTTACATACTTAGATACACATCGCCCTAGTGGGCAATTTTTATTATTATAATTACTTGTTTCTTATTTTTGCTTTTATTTTAATCATCTCTCCATCTTTCTGCGTGCCCCTAGCGCCCCCTGGCGGCACCCACTTTGAAAAACACTGTCCTAGCAGATGATTAGTGATTTTTGTTGAACTTTATGAGACACATTGCTAGCTGAGGGCAGCCAAAGGAGCCCCCATGAACATCAGAATGTTCACAGTCAATTTCTTCCTTTTATGTTGAGTTAACGAGGTAAACAGTTTCCATCGACGACGAGGACCTTCAGCTCTGAACCCATTTAAAAATGACTCAAAATCAGGAAGACACACAGGTTTAGGTCAGGCAGCTTGCACAGCCACAGCACAGAGAGGCTGTGTTTAGTTTCTGCATCACTTACTGACTTATTCTGCATCCTTTTCTTCACCAACTGAAGGAATGCAAAGTAAAACCAACACTTAACCAGTTATCCCCTGGACAAACTGGTGTTACATCCAGTTTGATTCAATTCAGCTTCATTAAAGTAAAGTGGGCGATGTGTTGTCATCATTGTATGTTCTGTATTTAACCCATCACATCTGAGATACACCCAGATGGAGCTACGCACCTGGGGAGTGATTAGGGATTGGGTGTCTTGCTCAAAGGAGACCACTACATATGGGCATGGCAGGGAATTGAACTTGCGACTTTCTGGTCCCAAGTCAGCTGCCCTACCTCTTACATCATCTCGGCCCCATTACCAACTCAGAACAAAAGTAATGAGGGAATTTTATTTTTTAATATTTTCTATTGACATCTATGTGTTTGAATACGAGGTCGGTGGTTTGCTCAGCACTAACAAACTCACAGGATGCACTTTGAGTAAACATGAATTCAAAATGATCTGCACAGTGGCGCAGTTGGTAGAGCTGCTGCCTCTCAGCGAGCAGGTCGTCCTGGTTCAAATCCCGGCCCGGGGACCTGTCTGGGTGGAGTTTGCACGTTCTCTCCGTGCATGTGTGGGTTTTCTCTGGATACTCCGGTTTACTCCCTCAGACCAAAAACATGCATGTTAGGCTGATTGGTAACTCTAAATTGTCCCTAGGTGTGAGTGGGAGAGTGAATGATTGTTTGTCTAGTTTGTCTATGTGTCCCTGTGATGGACTGGACCTGTCCAGGGTGTCCCCCGCCTCTCGAACAGTGATAGCTGGACATGGGCACCAGTGACCCCCATATCCCAAAAAGGAAGAAGCGGGTAAAGATAATGGATGGATCTTTTCTTTTTGAGACTTTGCCGACTCTACTCATCCTGTAATAACTGTTTCGTCCACTAGAGGGCAATGTTCCAAAAGTTTCAAGAAACCTAAATCTCCATCTACCTGTTTGCACAAATCTCAACGGCTGAACTTAAAGTTAGGATGAAGTTTTTGGTTTTACGTTTGGTATTCCTATTTTTTAATTTAGTTGCTAGATTACAAGTCCAAACTGACTGAATGCAGTTTGCGATTTTAAATGTTTCGAGAATACGTTTAAAGACAGAAATAATTGTCATCTTTGGAGATTAAGATGTTACAGATGAAGTGTAGACATCTGTCTGCTGACTAATTACTTCTGCGATTAGGTTTTTTCAGAAAAAAAAAAAGTTTCAACAATTGACCACAAAGTATTAGAGCGATTTTAAAGATGGTATGAATATAATCAAGATGTAATTAAAAAATGTTCATATATAGTTTAGGAGTTTGGGTCTGTAACCCACCACCGTGAACCGAAGGACTTTCTAACATTAAATGATATTCTATCAGATTCTCAGTCTGGTTTTAGGAAGATGCATAGTACCACTACAGCAGCGCTAAAAGTGGTTAATGATTTTATTGATCTTTTGGATAATAAGCAACACTGTGCAGCCCTCTTTTTCAATTTCTCCAAAGCATTTGATACAGTTAATCATCAGGTTTTATTACAAAGACTTCACACTTTTGGCTTGTCAGAACAAGTTCTTTGTTGGTTTGACAACTATCTGACCAATAGATCTCAATGTGTTCAAGTAGGGGGTTTAGCTTCCTCTTCTCTCCATATACTCAATGGTGTTCCACAGGGGTCAGTGCTGAGGCTGCTTTTGTTTATTATATATATAAATAGTTTTAATTTAAATGTGCCTCATGCAAAATTTCAATTTTATGCTGATGATACTGTTTTATATTGTTCAGGTCTCTCATCTAATAATCAATTACAGTCAGCTTTTAATGTTTTACAGACAAATCTTTATCACCTTAAGCTTGTTTTAAATGCTGATAAATCGAAGGTGATGCTGTTTTCCAATGGGAGATTTGAAAGTAAGGATCTTCCAGTCATTACTACAGCTGAACGTCTGAAAATTGAAAAAAGTATCACAGTATAAATATTTAGGATTTTTAATAGATGGTCCTTTGTCTTTTACTCCCCACATTCAACAGCTGGTGAAGAAGCTGAGATTAAAATCTTTTTTTGTTTGTTTGTTTGTTTTCAGGATCAGAACCTGTCTATCTTCTGAAACTAGGAAGTGACTATGTTATGTCTGTACTGGACTATGGTGGCATTTTATACAAGCATGCTCCTCTTAAATGTTTATATTCGCTGGATACTGTTTATCATGGAGTTTTAAGATTTACAACAGGTTTAAAAGGTTTTACACATCATTGCACTTTATACAACCAGGTTGAATGGACAGCATTGGCCACTCGTAGACTCCACTATTGGCACATTTTTATTTAGAAGGCCATACTAGGACTTCTTCCTTCATGTTTGTTGGCCTTTATAAAGAGAAAGTCCACCGGAGGATACTCTCTTCGTTGTGAAAAGTTATTTTTACTTACAGTGCCTAAAGTATGAACTGAACTTAGAAATCTTTTCAGTTTTCTGCTCCATCTTGTTGAAACCAGTTGCAGAAATACATGAACCTAAAGGAGCTGTTGTCACTAAATGTTTTAAAGGCTGTTCTTACTGATTTGAAGAAGGAATCATCTGTCTGTAAATGTTTTAATTACATGAACCTAAAGGAGCTGTTGTCACTAAATGTTTTAAAGGCTGTTCTTACTGATTTGAAGAAGGAATCATCTGTCTGTAAATGTTTTAATGGAGGAATCTTTAAATTAATTTATTTATGACGGAGTTAACTTTTTCTGTTTTTGCTGTGACTATTCTTCTGTGTGCTGCTGCCAGCCTTGGCCGGGATTTTATTGCAAAAGAGATTTTTAATCTCAATGGGCTTTTCCTTGTGAAATAAAGGTTAAATAAAAATAAATAAATAAAAACCTTCAGATATGTTATCCCTTATTTACAGATAAGAACTAGACATGCTCTCAAAAGTAAGAAATAAAAAATAGGCGTATTTTTGGTTTTATCTTTATTAATATGATGCACATCTTTTTTTTAGGTTTATGCTATTTTCTTATCTCCTGGTTAAAACTGACCCACTCAGAGTAACCAAGCTGCTACTGTTAATACAAAAAGGCCTGATTTCAGTCTGCAAATGCACTTAGATGATTAAGCAGAAATTGTAGGACAATATAGGAGGGGATAGTCAGACTGGGAGATATTCCCAGGCTGGCTTCCTTCTGGGAATGGTGCCTTGTTGCCCTTTTTCCTGGCGCCTTGGCATCAGGCTGTTTGCTGCAACTCCCTCCCAGCAGCAGCGACTCAGCTTTGGGCCGGCTGCTGGTGTCTTTCCTCAGATTTTAATCCATAAACTTCACTGTTCACTCTGAAAAAGGTGGCAAACATGAACTTAATTGTAATTAATATTGTCAGTATATGCAAAAAGTGTAGCATAATAATTATTTACATTCAAATAAGAATCCATCTCTTCTTTCTTGGTCCTTAGTAAATATTTCAGCTTTTAATGAACTTCAAGGTGGGGTTGAGTTACATGTAGAGCTTTGCCACCATCTGGTGGAACAATACCACAAGTGCAAATGGTCTGAAATTGACGTTTTTAATGAAATTATCCATCCATCCATCCATCCATCCATCCATCCATCCATCCATCCATCCATCCATCCATCCATCCATCCATCCATCCATC